GAGTCGCTCCCAGCTGCCAGAGGGATTTCTATTCGGCCTCAGCTGCTGCCCAGTGGCCTGGATCATTGCAATGCTGTGATCAAGGGAAAATACCCCATTTCACAACGGCAACTCGGGAGGGCAGGGCGCTAATCTGGGGAGCTCCTATCCCAGCTGGGGACCCGGCCGCCAGTGAGATAAGTGATGGAGATGACTCAGTTTTTGCTGGATTTCAGCTTGACGTGAGATAAGCGTTAAAAGGTAGAGCCTCTGTCCCCAGGCAGGCAAGGTCCCGAAGCCAGGAAAGGTCCCAAAGCTGCTCAAGAAAGGAGGAAAGGTGCCTTTTAAAGCACGCAGGCTCTGCAGGGACGGACGGCCGTTAGAGGAATCTCCCTCCGCGCCTTAACGCAAAGCTTCTGGGCGTCCCCCCGGAAAGCGAGCCAGCAGCGCTCTCTCCCCGGGAGCGCCAAGGCGTTACCTATACTGCTCACTTCTGAGACGAGGGGTCATCTTCTCACCACCCACCCACCCACCCATCCATCCATGGAAGGGGTCGATTCCCCGTCTACGGTCGGAGGGAAACAGCTTGCAGAGGCACCGAGACCTCTTGCTCGGGTGTACGAGGCGCCTGCCCCAAACCTGCCCCGTGAGCCCAGGAGCCATCTCTGCACACCGTGCAATGATCCGCACGGGCGATTGCTTTCGTCCCTGAAGCCAAGGTGCTTCCTGGAAAGCTCCCAGCCCCGCCAAAGGGGGGAACGCGCTGATTTTTGTGAACAAGGAGCTGCTTAAATTCATAACTGGCACAGGAAAAGCAAGAAACCCTCTCTAGCTCATTGTTATCCTCGGCGCAGTTTTCAACTTGTGCCTGGGCTGATGGATACGTAGATGGTGAACGGGGTGGGAAACAAAAGGAGAAACAACGGCTGCTGCGCTGAGCTGAGGAGACAATTACAGCTGTGCCTCCCCTTGCTGAGATACCTAAACGTACAGGAGAGCGCAAAAGTGATGCTGGGTGGGGGGGGCTGCTTCTGCCTGCTCCCTCGTTGGGCTTGAGGATACAGTGCCATACAGCAAAAAGTTGGGGATTTTGTGCCTGAGACCGCTTTGGAGGTGCCCCGCGAGGCACTCGCGTCCTTGCAAAATGCCGTGCGTGTGTGCGCGTCGGACGGCTTTCCTGGAGGGGGGCAGGAACCCCCCTCCCCGGTGGGTGCCAGCGGCTCAAGGACGGACATCACGAGCAGAGGATGCTTACGGGCATGGGAGCTTGGCTGAGCTCTCCAGAGCCGGCACTCAAAGCAGAGAGGCGGCAGCAGCAAGAGATAACTTGCAGAGAGCAGCAGAGATTGCGGCTCTGATACGTCTGCCTGCTCTTCTGCCTGGAGTCCGAAGGCTGGAGATTGTTTCAGGTAGGAACTTCATGCACAGCAGGAAATCTTTCCCTGCCTCTGCCTTCCCATTGCTCCGAAAACCAGGGGCACAGCACTTCTCCCCTCCTCACCTTGCAAAGCCCAGGGGGAGTCCTCTTACCTGCCACGGGGAGGGCCAAGAAGGGTCCTGGGGGCTCCGAGCTCCTTCCGTCACGCTGCGCCGGCCAAGGCGTGGGGATGCTGCGCCGGGACCGCTCCGGTGAGGACTGGGCTCCAGCGAAGGCTGCCGCGGCTCTTACTCGAGCCGGTGACGACAGGGGCTGGGCGAGGAGGGAGGGCCGTGG